AAAGGCAAGAGAGGGCTGGGTTAGGGGTAGGTGAAGGGGAAAGACCCTGAGCCCAAAGCAGTTCCCAGCCCGCTGGCCCACAGGGCCAGCCCTTTTTCCTGAGGACAAATGAGCATAAAAGGAAAGGGGCTGTCCCACCGGGCTGGCCGCCAGGTGCTGTAGTTACGAAATAGCTTCTCCTCCAGCTCTCCCTTCACTGTCCGCTCTGGGCACCTCAAAGTCAAGGTGGCTTAAGGGAAAACAGGATTCACTTCGAGAGAAACTACCGTTGTTCTGCTTTGAAAGAGTATCACTTTACAATTCTGTGCTGCTCATAAGAAATCCCTAACAAAGAAATAAAACAGCCATTGGTGGCTGGTCTGTGGTCAGTTTCTTGCTCTGCTATTTGATAAGAAGCTTTTACTTGAATATGTCCTCCTCCTCCCAGAGCTTTCAGGAAAGGTTATTTAACATTTTCCCAAAACTACTCTGGATACAGTTTCAACTTTTATCTCAAAATCAGAAGCAATGGCACCTGCTTTGTATTTTGTTTTGTAACCAGTGAGATGTTTTCTAGTCAAATCACACATCTCCCTCATTTTGTGCAGAAGAAAATAGATGCCCAAGAGATTGAGAGACGTAGCTAACAGCTACCTCACAGCTGGATCTCTAATCACTGTGTCAACCCTTTGATGTAGATGTCATTATCCCTGTTTTACAGATGAGAAAACTAAGGCACAGAAATCTTTCCCAAAGGATATTTTTAAATAAAAGCCAAAAATTTCCATTGAGAGCTGCCTCTCTCATTCAAGTTTGTGTTCTTTTCACTCTGTAAGACATTTTAAATTATATGATGATGGTGAACCCAGTTTGGTGGGTTCAGTAGCATTTAAAGATAAATATATTAAAAGGAATAAAAGGGGAGAGCGTAATTTCAAAATAAAGTATAGCGGGGCTGGGGTGTGGTTCAGTGCCACAGTGCTTACCTAGCATATGCAAGGCCCTGGCTTCAATCCCCAGCTCCACTAATAATAGTAATAATAAATGTATTAGTAGTAATAACAATTAAAACAATAATAGAGACTATCACATCAATTTAACATAACAGAAAAAGGTTTTTGCGTGGATATGTTTGTGTGAGATAATATAAATGTATTAGGCTATGGTCAAACTTTGAAAGTCACTACGCTAGAACATGACTAATCTGTCTACTCTAACAAAACCTTCATGTACAGGGCAGCTACCTCCCTGCAGGTTTTTACTGAAGCAGTGCCCAGGTCATCTGAGGTCCCTTCCCATTAAACTCTCAGCATCACCAGTAATGTTGTAATCTCACAGACTTGGTGGGCAGGAGTCTCCCTCTGCCCCACCCCAACTATGTGACACAGATGTAGAAGCAGGAACACAGATTGGTGCAACCAGCCCATTCCAAGGTGTTTCCACAAGCCCAGGCAAGCTTTCGTGCATGACAAAGCCTATAAATTGAAGATCCATCATCATTCGGTGTAAAAGGCGACAAAGTGCAAAGCTATGCCTTGTACTTGTCCCTCGTCATGTGGTGATGAAACAAGAGACCCTATAATCTGCCCCACAAACAACAGATCAACGAGTTGGAAATACAATTTTCTCTATAAGCAGAAGGCAGTTTTACAGTGGGAGAAAAGTGGTTCCTCTTTGTGAAAGCCCTGTGTTCTGAGTTGGGGATCCAAAGATGAGGGAGACTGGAGTAAGATTCCAATGGGTAATTCAGGCACAGAACTAAAAAGATGCACAGCTAAAAAGAAGGTGCAGTGTAACCTTAACTGCGATGTTAATTAGTCCAGTTTCGAAAAAATATGAAGAAAGAATTTTGATAATGTGGTAAAAAGCTAGATTGGTTGGAATTTGAATCCTGGGGCTGGTATTTACATGATATATTGACTCATGAATAATATTTTTTAGTATATATATATATGTAATCAGAGGGAATCTCGGAACTAAAATTTAGATTCATACTGGAATGGCTTCCTATTTTAAAGAAATATATATCAACTTGTAATATGAAATTGATATTACATTTTAGAGCTAAGTTGGCAAAACTAGTATCCCAGATAATTCTTCAATTGTTAGTTTACTGGCCAGGGATTTAGCTCAGTGGTTCCGCCCCCTGCCTCTCAAGCACAAGGACCCGAGTTCCATCCCCAGTACCAAAAAAAAAAAAAATTGTTAGTTTGTTTTCTGGTTATCATACCAGCTTTGTGGAGATATCTACAAAAAGATTAAAGGTCCAGTTTTGTTTAGTCCACTGAACACCTCTAAGTTCCTGTTCCTGTGGTCAGCGTTGTGCATAGCAAAACACACTGAGTTTGACTGCACTCGAGGGAGAGGACTTTCACTGCATTGCCAGTAACTGAGCAGCCCTGGCCTCACCTGCTTTGTAAAGAGACGGCCCCTCTGTTCCTCAGAATGGGAAAAGCTCATCTTTTAGCTTCCCATCCTCGTTTCCTGGAAACCTTTTGTCTAATTATTAAATTTCCCTTAACAAAACTTTGCAAGAGGCTGGGGATTTAGCTCAGTGGTGCTGCTGCCTGTCTCGAAAGTGCAAGGTCCTGAGTTTGATCCCCAGTACAAAAAAAACAACAAAAAACTTTTGCAAGAGGGCCTTTTCTAAATCTACATTCCCTTTACTGACAATGTAAATTAACTCAGTAAGACATAACCAGGACCTGATCTATAAAGCTAAAATGATGCTTCCATGATGTATGATTAAAACTATTGAAAGAGATGAGCCAATGGGGTGTGTCCACACAACGGAATACTACGCAACAGTGAGGAGTGACTGTCAGACTGGCCACACCGGAAATGTATCGCCAAAGCATTTTGCTGGGGAAAGAAGCCAAACTCAAAAGGCTACAGAGACTGTGATGAAAGGGCAGAAACAGAGCAGTGGTTGCCAGGGACTAGAAGCCAAAGGAGGGGAGGGAGTACGAAGAGATAGGAGGAAATGCACCTGGTGAAATGTTCTTTGTCACATAGACACTTGCTGAAAGACAACATATACGTATAGAAAGGTTAGTTTTATGTTATGTCACTTAGACTCCTATAACCTGACCTAAAAGTGAAATATTTTTTAAAAACACATTGAATTAAAATGTTTTTCAGGGCTGGGGATTTAACTCAGTGATTCCACTGCCTGCCTCGCAAGTGCAAGGTCCCAAATTTGATCCCTGGTACCAAAAAAAAATGTTTTTCAGAATTGAGGATGATTTACTTTTTAATTTTTGTCCACTCTCTAATAAGTATTTTGATCCTGGATAAATTATTTATTCTGACTCTCAGGAACTTAAGTTAGCTATAGATAAATAGGAAAATAAAGAAATACTTCACAGAAATTGAGCTTCTAAGTCCAAAAATATCTAAATCATAGGTATTTTGTTATATGCTAAAAACATTAACAATAAAATTTTAAAGATAAGCTCCATAAGGATTGTTATTTGGTTTTTAATTTTTAGAGGTAGGTCTTTGTATCACAACACATACACCCCACAATATGATAGATTTTCATCAATATTCACTTGATTATTTTCTTACACTATAGATCCCAGTGATAAATGTAGAAAAAATTTTGGAATTAAAGTGATGTAACAAGAAACCTAAATATGCCAAATACAACTTCAAAGACATATCTTCACTTATGAAAACAATGTCTTATGAAGCCAGACTTTAAAAATTCCCCCTTATGAATATTAAAACACTAGCACCTAGCCGAGGATTTGGCTCAGTGGTTCCACTGCCTGCCTCGCAAGCGCAAGATGCTGAGTTCGATCCCCGGTACCAAAAAAAAAACACTAGCACCTTGCAACATCCTAGGCATTTAATACATATCATATGAACATGAATCTATACCAATGGTGTCTTAGAAATTAAATAGGCATGGCTCTTTTTTAGAATAACCCTAGGCATTTCCCCAAAAGAGGCAAGACCCAGTTTGTTCCTAAGAAAATATAATCTTAGCCCAGTGCAAGGAGGATGAGGTGGGAGGATTGGAAGTTCAAGGCCAGCGTGGGCAATTTAGCAAGAGCCTGTCTTAAGAAAGAAAGAGAGAGAGAGAGAGAGAGAAAGTATAGTTTTTAATAATAAAGTGAATGTTTAGGACATTGTAGCAAGGAGATTATCATAAAACAATTAACTAATAAAGAGAAAGTATATAATGAGCTGTATTTGAGTGCCTCCTGCCAGCCAGGTAGTCTCTATGGCACTTCCACACACTCTCACTTAAGTTCTATGGGGTGGACAGTGCCACAGGGTCTGTATTCCAGATGAGGAAATGAAGGCACCAAGTTTAAATGATCCAAGAGCTCCCCGCCAGCAAGCAGGGCCGCCTGTCAGCTGGCTCTGGAGTCCGCACTGCTGACCATTCCTCCACGCTGCCTAAGGGTCTGGCTGCTGGAAGAGGCAGTGAGACAAATGGGACTTCCAACCACCACCAGTAGAAGCCAGCCCTGGCCTTACTTCATCCCTAGTTCTTCTGGCCTTGGGCCAGGGGCACCTTCTCTAGACCTGGATTTCTTACAACAGCAGCAACCAGAACAAGGAGATACTGAATCCAGGGATCTTCCTATTGTCTTTTCTAGCTCAAACACTAATTTCTCTGAATCAGTAGGGGAGACAAGAGTGCAGTGCAAATAGCCCTTCAAGATGAAGGCGTAAAACCTGTTTTGGAGAATGAGCATTTGCCATTCTAGAGGCAGCCCCAAGGTGAACTGTACCAGGCCCTCAGAGTGGCTGGGGAAACCTCAGGAAAGAGTCGGACCAAAAAACCAACATGCCGCTCATCTAGATCAAAACCCAAGCCAAACACAGAAATCGAGGAAAAGAAAAATATAAATTAAGAAGCCTTGGGCCGGGGATTTAGCTTAGTGGTTTCACCGCCTGTCTCAAAAGCAAAAGGACCAGAGTTCGAACCCTGGTACCAAAAAAAAAAAAAAAAAAAAAGAAGCCTGCCAAAACATAAAATCTTAACAAAATTTCTTTCACTTCAGAATGGAGAAACACTGGAAAGGAGTGAGAATGACGGGGGGAGCCCTGAGTTGGAGCAGCCTGGCAGAGAAGACCTCTCCCCCAGCAGGTGAGACGCAGATCCATGGGGGGGGGGGTCCTGGTTTAAGCCTCGCCCCTTATCTTTCCCAGATAAAAGCCACAGCATCCGTTCCTATAGTAATCTTCGTGATGCGCTGTACCTGCATCTCACAAAAGCAACAAGCCAGAGAACTGAAAAAGGTGCCTTATTACAAACCAGAGTTGTAAGGGTATGTTTTTAAAATGGAGGCTGGAGAGAATACTGAGTGACAAGTAACATTGACCAAATTATTGGTTTAAACACTTTTTTAAAGTTCCTAGTTCCCCCAAACACATTATACAAATTCAAAGCTATTTTTGATCTACAGGAAGGTGTTTGCATATAGTGAAGGCTGAGGAGCTCAGAAAGCCTAAATTAGGAAGGTAAAGACCAAAAGCATAAGAGGAAATTCACTTTTTAAAATCTCTGTATTCAGAATCCAAAGATCATAATCCCTATTTAATGCCATTTGACTTATGAACTACCTTTATTCCTTTTACCTTTATTTATGATTGGCTCTCAGTGGGCCTCCAAAAAAATCCCTGTAGAATGAATGGACAAACATCTTTAAGATCTTGTCCCTTGATTAAAGCCAGTTATTATTTTAGTCAGACCCTATATTCATTCACTTTAAGTTATACTCGAGGAAACAGATGTAGGCTCTTAGTCATTAAAATGTTTCCTTTAGTTACAGTGAATGGGTCCGTTCAGCATTTCTGAAAGTGAGAGGCTTGGTGGGGTGATCTCTGAAAAGAACCATTTCGCAATGATGTGTTCTATGGTTTTGTTACTAATACCCATACCTATTTTTATGATTATAAAAGTCTTAGTTAAATGTGTTCTTTAAGGTAGTTGATGAGTGTGTTAATTTACATGAGACCACTAAATCACATGTCTAATGAAAAACACAAGGGAAAATTTACAGCATTTAACTAATGAAACAAAAATACCTTTATGTTTTTGCAGAAGATAAAGGCAAAATTGGCTAGTCAACTTATTCAAAGATAGGAGAATCTGTAAGACGACTGTTTTTGTTCTACCGTATTAAATACTTCAAGATCACCAATCTTTGCTGCAACAATTTCATATGCATTTCCTTGTTTATTCTTGATTTTATAACGAGTTTTATAGACTTGAGTTTATACCTGATACAAATTTGTTGGGCCTAGAGTTGATAAGTGCAATATGCTTGGCATTTAGATTTTTGTGAATAAATTATAAACTTTTAAGTAGTGTAGATAAAACGCCATGAGTGTCCATTAAGAGTTCTGAATAATTAATCACTTTTTATAGATGGATGCGTTGCCAGAATAACATTACCTTGTTCTTTGGAAAAATAATTTATCTTATTATTTGAAAAAGATAATTTGTGAGTACAACGTGACAGGATGTGCTGAACCTCTATCTTCAGAACTTACTTTATAACTAGGAAATAATCAGTTGGTAGTGCAATAACTTACATGATAAAGTATAAATTTGAGGAGGATGGTAAGAGATGTGTAAATTGAATTTCCAAGGTTTCAGCAGGGACAGGAGGAATGGTGTTTCTGGCGAAGGGAACCAACATAAGCAAGTCATGAATGAAATTTGAGATGAAAAATAGTGGCAGTAGGAAAAGCCAACTAGAGAAGCTGAAGGAAAGGAAGATCACCACAGGGGTCTAAAAAACAGGTAGAAGAGTTTAGATTTTATGCCGAAGGCAGTGTGGAGCCTTGGGAAGCTGGATCAAAGGGATGCTGAAAAGAAAGCTGTAAGCTTGGCCTGCTGCAGAACTGCCTGAAGGAACAGTCGGGGAGACACCTAACCTTCCTTTCATTATTATGGCAGAATGGATAACTCTGCATAGCCAGAGTTCTCTGGTCCCATTCTCATGGCAGCTGTGGGGTCCAAGCAAAGTCCCCAAACAGGTCAGATGAATTCTTCCAAATGATCAGTCATCATTTTAGTTCCAACTAAAAACACACCTTGCAAGGACAAAGTTCTACAACTGAATAGTTCAGATGCTTCAATGTTTTATAAAATACATGGATTAAATCACTGTATATATGAACCAAGAATTGACCAGGCACCAGGCGAAAAACAGATGAAGTGCATACTATGTGCTAATAAGTGAAAGCACCAAACATCCCAAGGTAGGCACAAAAGCTTTCCTAGCTTTAAGAGGCAAAGGCTGACTTTAAATCTGCTTTTAAACAACTACCAAATAATATCAAATAAAAGGAAACTGCAACCTTTTCAAGTGGTGTCTAAGGCACCATGCCTGCAGGTTCTGACTTCATCCCTTCCCAAACGAATTACCAGGAAAGAACATTCCTCCCCCTAGACCTTTCAGCCTAAGTCAGGTAACAAACACAGGCATCGTAGGCAGCTCCGTAATACAGAGGCCACAGCAGTAAGACTTCGCTCGTGTAGCAGGCACCTGGCCGACATCAGACGGAAGGAGCTGCCTCGGCTGAAACGGTATCCACACAGATGAGGGTGAAGTACACATCTGGTGACAGTTTTTAGGTTGTTTATTGGAAAGCATAGATTTTTCTTTAAACCCACTAATTATTTTGCCATAAAAAGCAACACTCAAATAATATAAATATTCAACATTTTGGTATAAAATTAATATGGAAAAAATATGCAAACCAACCAGGAGGTAAAAAATTGTTTTAAACAATAACACTGTGTACAATCATCTTTTACTCAAGTGACCATCCAGGCTAGCAGTTTATTTTCCCTTTGTTGACATTTTTTAAAAAGATAGCCCTGCATCGGAGCACCAAAAATGTTTTTCCCTTCCTTTAGAAAGGTTAGAACACTTCTCCTTACAAACACTCTTCTTAGTACTTAAAATCTGATAAAGGAATCATCAGGCAACTTCCTTCTTACAAAACATGGAAGTGCCTTCATATGTCCTTCCAATTTAAACTTGTTCCAGTCTATTCTAAGCAAAAATAAAAGATTTCAAGAGAGCTCTTTCAACAAATAAATTACTGTTCCACAAAAGTTTTGCTGTAAACAAGATCACTTCAATGGTCAGAGAGATACTGATGTTTTCAACCAATGGCAAATTTCAACAGTTCCAAGTACAGCTCCATAGGGTATATATGGCCCAAAGATGAATACTTATTAAACAATCAACTAATAAAATTAATTTTAAAGCTGCTTTGTCAAAATGTGCTTTTGTTCTCTACAGTTGTTAAGATTGGTCAGAAATTTGAAACTGTGATGATCTAGAACTCTGAATCTACTCTTAACTACAGTAACTACAGCCTAGGATGTTTGACATTGTAGTCTTAACATTACTTAAAAATGCTAAATTATCTAAGCAATGTAAACAAGCTTCAAATTTCAAAATAGAAAAAAATTAACAAAAAGGTTTTTGTAAACATTAAACATCTACCTGCTAAGAATTATTATCACCATCCAGTTGTATATACTGAGGAATCCTTTTAGTTTTGTTTTGCCCGTTTCTGAGGTCCTCTTATTAAATGAGACTTCTGAGTTTTTCCATAACAGGTGCTTCTGCAGCCAAAGGTTTTATAATCAGTTCAGCTGTTTTTGTTGAAGTCACTATTTTGGCCTTTACAGAATCTCGCTTGCAAAACATGTCACCTAATTCTTTCTGTCTTAGGGGGTAAAAGTGTTGTTTGCATCCTGGCCACATTCTTCTCCTACTTTGTAAAATAAATATAATTTAATTTATTAGCTCTCAGCCACATCTAATAAAGAATATGCAGCTTTACAAATGCAGCTTTACAAATGCAGCTTTACAAATAAAATGCTTTCACTCTCACCCTGGCAACTTCTCTATCACTTCTATTTTGCTTTCATGTTTGAAATATTTAAAAGATAAAGATCAACTTTGACAGTTATTTGATCAAAAGATCGATTGTTTTAGATAATATCACTCTGATTTGATGTTCAATACTCTTAAAATTGAACTTAGAACAAAATACTGTAGTTTATGAGACTGTGTTGGGAAGAGAGGGGTTGATTTTGGTAATCAGTACAATGATTTAGATACTAAGATTGTATTTTATAAATTACAGAGAAAAGAGGCCTGTAATGTTCTGTCTTTCCTTCCAAAGTCTCTTCCATTATTCTATTCCTCTCTGCAAACAACATTCAAATAACTACCTTAAACACAGACCAATACTCAATCCATAAAAACTAGTTGAAAAATTCATTAAGTTAAAAGGAGCATATTAGAATTAACAATAATTTCTCCCTAGAGAAGCCCCTATTGGCAACAAACTGCCCATGTTTTGTGTCATTTTCTAATATTAGCAGAAAAAACCTACCACACAAAGTACCAGTTAGGGCAGAGCTAATGACTTCTCAAATTTCACATTAAACTTTGAAAGAATGATACAAATACATTTTAAGTGATGTTAACACTATCTAGGTAAATAGCTACATGGATGTGACCTTAAGAGACTCAACTGTTTATAATGAAATTGTAGACATTTTCCTATATCTCTTCTTAACAGAAGATTTTCTTTTACCAGATTTTATATATTTCTCCTATGCCAACCTTTCCCTGCCCCCACCATCAGGTGCTCTTTAGCAAAAATAAACAGGAATACCTGGTCTAATAACATATTAATTTCTTTGAAATGCTGTAGTATACATTCACTTGATATTTCCAAAAGCTGTTACTCTGATACCAATGCATCTTAGTAACTCTCTACACCGCAAATGTGCATGTGGCATTGAATAAGAATGTGAATTTTACATTAGTTTTGTCTTCATTCATAATATAAACCATTTCTAAATATGGATTCCTTCAAATGTAGTTAGGCCAGGAAATAAAGAAGGTATATTAACAGCTTCTACAATCAAAGAAATATTCTGATAGGCGAGGCTTTTAAAATATTTCCTTGCCTTTCATATTTACTTGCTACAGGCACAGACAGCGAAAGGTTTTCCATCCAGGTTTGGCTCAGTGACAGTGGAAACACACAACATTCAAGTATCATTAGACAAATGCAGCCCTGCAGGGATACGTGTCCGTGTAGGTCAGTTTGCAGAGGAGTGCTATCTTCATTAACCTGCAGTAGATTTGCCCAAAAAATCCTCTTGAAACGTTTTTGACCTTAGGATCTGTAGCGTCCCTCCAAAGGCCATAAAGATCTTGTACATGTCCATGAGATGTCATCATTTTTTCATAGATGCAGGGATGGTAAGGAGCTCTTCCTTCCCCAGAAAAAAAGACATGGTACTGCGGTACTATCCCCATTTTATTGGCACAGAGCCCCATGAACACATCATCGATGTACAGACTAGAATTCAGCATCTGGGATGCTTCGTAGACCTTGGTGACTACGTCACCAGAGATGACATAGGCAGCGCCAGCCGTGTAGTCAGGGTAGGCAGGCCACTGGTACATTTCATAGGAAACGTAGTACTTGCTGCTTCTGTCTCTAACGGGAGGGCTACCGCGGTGAACACGACCAATCCAGAAGTCTTGCACACCAATTTGTTCTAAACTTTGAAGGTATGCGATGAGATTTGGCATGTGAATAAATATGTCGTCGTCAGCAGTCATCAGGAACTTGGCATGTGGACAAAAGGTATTTGCCCAACTGAACTGTAGAAGTAATTTCAGAGTAAGATTGTAGAAAGAATCAACAAAGTCTTGCTGAATGATATCTCCATACATCTGATCTTCCCAAACCAGTTTTCTTTGCAGTTCTTCTCCCTTCAGTGGATTAGGAGCTCCCAAAGCAAACAGAGTTTTGATGTTGGCATTAAGTTGAGACCGAACATACTTCTCATTGCCCCAGGTTTTTCTAATCGCAGAACGTCGATCATAGTTTTCGGGAGCAGTCTTTACAAACAGTAAAAGAAGGACCTCTTGAGCTTCACACTTCTCCCTGTGGTTAATCAAGTATGAGTAGCAAGACCCCTTCAAGCTGCGCTTAACAGACAGAGTATCATTTACAAAGTCATAGCTATTGATGAGGTATCTGTATGAGTAGGACTTCATGTGACTCACAATGTGATTATCGATAGGTCCCCAAAAGATCATGAGGCTTAGGATAAAACAAGTGGCAAATAACTGAATAAACTGACATTTTTTGACTCTTCTGCCACTAACAAACATTCTCATGTCCATCTGGGTTTGTTTTTTATTTAGGATGAGTTTGAAATGGGTGCTCCTCACTTCTTGGAGAACATAGAACTTTATATTTTGTAGAATAGATGTTCATCTTAGTAGATGTTGGTCATGAAGATGGGAAAGGACCTTCCTTTTTCACATAATATTTGCTTTTAAGACCATTTTTTCTAGGGTTGCAAAAGAATGAAACATGCTATAGAAGGAGGACACTGGGATGTCAAAATTCTTCCACAGCAGCATCCTTCATTGCGTTTGGTGCATGGCCCCACGCAGCTGGCTCATGGACCGCTGCCCTTGAGCGTGAACTGTGACCTATCAGGGTCCAAAAGAGAAAAGAATAGCAAAGGATTGGTTTACTGCATTTCCAAAGCACACATACGCTCCTGATTCCTTAAAACCAAGTGTAGCTTGATGATCTCCCCCAGTGAGGCTGTTAGTATGGAGCAGAGGCATACTGCTGGGTTTTAGAGGAATAAATACAGGGGAAAGGAAAAAAAATTACAGGATTTGATACTGTCTTTCCATTCAGATAAGACACATTTTTCTCTTCCCTCTCTTCAAAACAAAACAAAACAAAAATCCAAATAGTTATCATCATGTATACTTAAAATTCAAATGCCACAAATGAGATTATCCACAAATATACTGATTTGAATACAGTCAGGATGAAACAAATTGTACAGATCAAGGCAAAATACTAGATGAAAAGATGTTCATAGCAATAAAGGTCCACTCATGGTTTCCCCAGCCACGGCGGGAGTAAGAGTAAGACTTTTTTAAAAATTACAGTTCAGAATCAAGGAGTCATGGTTTGCTTTTCAAAGCATAGTACAAATTCCCCCCAATCAAGATTACTTTGTGAGCCCCAAATCTAGAATCTCCTTCCTTCCTTCCTCCTTCCTTCCTTCTTTATGTGGAAACTTAACAGGCTCCTCCAACTTAACATGCTCCAAACTAGGAACCAACAGGATGAAGGCCACAAGCTTGCCCTTGGTAGTCAGGGAATCTGAGCACCAGTGGGGGCTTGGCCAACTTAGTATTTGTTGTACTAAATCATGCATTTTACCCAGAAGCCTGAACATTGAGAGGCCACTACTTAAAGTTTTTACACGGAGCAAAGGGGAACACACACAGACACAGGTAGGAGGGAGGGGACACGAGTGCCATTTCTAACGCACCCCGCTGGCTTCCCTAACACTTACTTTGCATCTTGTCTTGATCTGTGCCTGACTGCACTTCATCATCTAATCCAGAAGTCTGAAGTCTGCCTTCCCCGCCACTTCCGTAGCCAACTGTCTAATCCCGTGAATCACTCCGGCTGCATCTCTCTTCACGCCCTCTGTCACCATCCTGCTCACCCAGACTGGCAGACCAGTAAAGCAACAAAAGGATCCCTGGCCAGCCCAACAGTCAGCGTGGCCTTCCAAAGCTCGGACTGCCCATGAGCCCAGCCGAGCTCTTCACTCTCCTCCAGAGCCCGTTCCCTAGTTCACCAGTTAGTGACAACAGGCAGTCTAAGTTATGACTTAGCAGAGCACCCGGGACGCGTCGGGCTCTGCTCCTGCAGCATCTGTCATGGCCAGCTGGCCATCCCGTGTCCCTCCCTGTGCGCCAGCAGTACTGTGGCCTGGTCCACCCCAACTCCCTGCTCCCCTGAGTGCCTTCACCCCGAGTGCCACGGGTAGACTCCTCAGGGAAGCCTAAACGGGGCCCCATTCCCTCAAATGTGTTCCTTATCTGCGTCGCACAGTCCCTGCTGGCTCCAGGTACTGAGGTGTTTTCAGCCCGATGTTGTAGACGCCCTACCCTCAGCACCCATGAACATCTGACACACAGGTGTTTATCAAATGCTGGTACCAAGAACCACGCAGGGTCGGAGCGACTCTCACTCCAAGTACTGGCTATGCAGGAAGGACTGGGCAGAACCAGCCAGGCTCGCCTCAGAGGAGGTCCACACCACAGCTGCTTACCTCCCTTCCTCCCTTTTCTCCCGCCACCAGGAGACAGCACCCTCACTTCCTCCAGCAGTCTGCACCCTGTGTTCACCACAGACACCCCCGTGCCTTAAAGCAGGCGCTGTCTCTCAAGGCACATCTGTCCTCTGGGCTTTGACTAAAACCGGGAGGGAGAAAGTGAAGCAGGCAGGGACACGGCGAGCCCACATCACAAGCCGAGGACTGAGACTGACTCTCGAGTCTTCTCACCCTTGATCTTGGCACAAAACCAGCTGTGCAAACCAAGTGCCTTGTGGACCGGGCTCCGGCTGGGATGCCTGCCTCCTTACCTCTGGACTTTTGACTCTGCTGCTTTTCCTGTCCCCCATGATCACTCCTAGCTAGGGCAAAAACTGCGAAGTCTCAGTATTGAAAAAATCTCCAAATCAGGCAAGAGATTAGAAGAAGCCCTTCTGAGACTGTCCAGAGCTAATCAGCATAGGTAGCACTTTATCCCCTAGAGCAGTGATGGCGAACCTTTTAAAGACCGAGTGCCCACACTGCAACCCAAAACCCACTTATTTATCACAAAGTGCCAACACTGCAATTAAACCTCAAAACTGAAGTTTTACTTTAGAAAAAACAACTGTTATCTGATGCTCAGCTACTGGGGTGACTTGGCTCACGTGCTAACAGAGAGGGCCCTGTGTTCCCACAGGTTCTCCTTATAGCATAGATTTTTAAATGGCAAGCGCTGCTTAGGAAGCCACAGAAGAAAGAGGGGTGGGGGAGAGAGGAGGGAGGGAAGGAAGGAAGAAAAGGAAAGAGAGAAAGACAGAAAGAAAACAGTGCGTACAGAAAGTAATGCGAGTTTCCTGTGAAACTGAGTTTGCTGTGTGCGTCACTAGCGGATGTAATGTGAAATATGTTAGTGTGCTTAACCTTCTGCTCTAAGGGACAGATGACATGGGCAGTGTCCGCCTTTGGATAGGCTGGTCTATGGGGGCTGGATGCTCTCCAGGACAGTGGGAGAGACAGCAAGCAGGAAACATCCGTTTCTGGTGGTGGCACCTGCCTAAACCCTGCAAATCCACTTTGATTGAGGGATCACTTCCTCTCAGTCTTTCCACAGCGCTCATTCAGGCCAAGCACCATCCTCTGCAAAAGCAAAGGCCATTCTGCCTCCTCCACAGAAAATTTTAAAAGAGCTAGAGGCTTAAAGCAAGGTAACCCAATTCTTAACGGCAGGGTTTAAGACGGCATCAGTATTTAAGAATTCTAGGAACGGTCTCAATTGAAAGGAATCTGCAGTTTCTACTCCAACAGCCTCTGGGAAGGGAACAAAGTAGGCAACCTTTGGAACTGAGAGATTACAGGTGAATCCAGCTTCCCATCTCCTGGCAGCTGTGCTCACCTTTGTTCACAAGTCCAAGCTGCTTACTGTACTACCTGCCCGAAAGCCCACTCCTCTGTCGTGCAAATGTGCACCCGACTCAACAGAGGAGCCCGCAACTCTGGAGTGAACCAGGTCAGCATGTCCCTGGTGCTGCTGCTGCTGCTGCTGCTGCTAATATTGCAGCCAGAAGCTAGCAGCTGGCCCATAATATTCATACAATCCCCCCAACTGTATGCAGTCACCTGATTTTCCTAGATTTTTTCCACTGTTCCAAATGGACCTCAGTGAGTCCAAATGTTTTCTGAAAAATGACAACCTGTCACCAAGCCAGCAACCCACACTACATATTCAGTACAGCATGTGAAGTTCCAAGGCAAGGTTTCTCCCACTCGTAATGAGAATCGTGTAGCCACTGTTTACAGATCTCACAGACGCACTGGTGTGACACAGCGGGGGAGACAAAATACACATTTATATCACACACCTTCACTCTGACAACCAAAGAACATCTGATTTCCTCCAGCAGAACAGGGTGGCTTGGAGGCCTTTTCCAGCCCAAAGCAAAAGGACCCGTCAATCTAAGCTCGCTGACAAACCCGAACGTTGCCTGCGCTGGCTCTGCAGGTGGAGACCAGCACATGCAACTGGCGCTCCCCTCGCTCTTCTGCTTCCTTACAGTGTCTTAAAGCTGCTTGACAGCACATGTTTCTGCTTCCTGTTCAGAATGCCAGGGAGGGGACTGGGGAGAAGCCCACCAGCCGGCTGAGGCTGATGGCTGACCTGGTAGAAGAAAATGCTAGGCCTTGTAGGAAACAATGCAAAAGCAAACGCAAAGCTCAGCAGCCACCCACGACAGAGTTCTGGGGGTGTGGCTTCCTTTGTGTGCCCATGGCACAGCTCGGTGGCCAATCAGCAGCCCGGCAACTCAAGGGTCATCCCTGTTTGGGGCCCGTGACCCCAGGCCACCTTCCACCTCTGATTTGGTGATTTAATCTGCATATTAGGGCAGATATCAATGTGATGTTACTGAAGGGAAATACAAAATGTAGGTGACTTCAGAGCCTACTGGAAATATGAAATGGAGCAGTGGAGAGAAGAGGACAGAGGACTGCACAGAGGGGAATAGGCAGACATTGGAATACAACTTGGGTTTGCTTCTCTTGGAGCTGAGAGAAAGGAGCTGCTATCCTTACCAGTCTCTTTTCTAATGCAAGTAGTCAGAAAACAAAGAAAAGAACATCAGAAAGGACCCCACCTCAGATACTTTTCAGTCTGGGAGCTGGGACCCTCAGTTACTCAAAAGCATTTTTTTCCCAAGAGAGCTCTTTAAACTTCTCTGGAAAACACTACAGTTGGTTATTGTGTCTCCACTACAAGTTTCCCTACAATAACCTGGGTTTTTTCTGCTTCACCCCACTGTCAAATCATTTCCTTATTGAGTGTACTCTGATGATCCTGAAATAATATGCAAATCCTGTCAGAATTTTGAAGTTTGAATCAAGATAGGAGGTCCACTCTTTAAAGTCAACTTAACTTCAGTCTCCCAAATTCCAATTAATCCTAAAGGATTCGAGTATTTATTATGTGAGCCAGGCATGGGAACGTGAAGTAGTATTTTATAGGCTGCAATCTCAAAGCACTTGGAGTCCATTTGCGATAAGGCTCATAGTTCCCACGGCCCGCAAGCCTGGCAACTCCACCTCCAGGGGCAACAGGCTTTCTGAGCAGAGAGCTCAGGGTCAGTCGGAGGTCTTCGGGAAGGCTAAGGATGAGCAGGTCCTAGGCAGTGCGGGAGTAGGAGCAATCTTTGTTTCAGATGAGAAAGGAAGTACTTGTGGCAGACACTGGAGAAATGGGGCATCTGTGAAAGCAGGGAGGTGGTTGTTGGCTTATGAAGAACCTGGAGTCCTAGTGACTACACAGAGCCGCTGGAAGTCACAGGCGTGCTGGTTATATGTGGAATGATAACTCCCTTCTTCAGTATTTATGAAGTTTAGACGTGAGGGATTAAACCGCCAACGGTGTTGCAGGACAGAAAGCAGAGCACCCGGAGCTCGGGACAGCAGTTGATCAGGGCCTGGTGCACAGATGCACAGAAGGTACAGCCCAGGTTGTGAGTCGCCTATTTTCTGTCGCCATAACAAAATACCTGAAGCTGGATACTTACAAAAACAAAAACAGATTTATTCAGCTCCCAGTTTTGGAGGCTGAAAGATCCAGCAGCCCCCACATTGGGCCTCTGGTGAAGGCTGCAGCTTGGCCAGCAGCACATGGAAAACATCTGAGCACTTGGGTGGCCTCAGGCAGGGGCAGGGACCTGGCTGGTGTTAATCCCACCCACAATGACCTCATCACCTTGCTCTAGGCCCCTCCTCTTAAAGGGCCCACCACCCCTTAACACCACCACACTGGGGCCATCCTGTAGCGTGTGTTCCCTGGAGGACAAACCACATCCCATTCAAAGAGCAAGGATAAAGAAGCCCTTTCAGGAAAAACACAGGCCCAGCAGAACCTGATGGATACATGGGATGGGAGGAAAGGAAGAAGAGGAACAGCGCATGCAGCTCCAAGCAGTACAGACAAGGAGAGGGAAACCGAGTCCCTAAGTGAGCTGAGCCAGGCTCATGTTTGGCCTTAGACTTGTGCTGCTGCATTTGAGTTGTGGGAGAGATGACAAGGTACAAACATCCAGCAAGGCTTCAAGACTGGAGCTGGGGGGGTGGGGGGGTGGACTGCAGACACAGCGCAGCCCTCTGTGCATGAAGATAGCTGATTTCGAGCACATGGCGAACTCTCAGGGAGAGCTGGGCAGACAGATCCAGAAGGAAAGAACTCAGGGGGGGGAGGAGGAGGAGGAGGAGCAGCCTAGGGGAAAGGAGCTGTTCAAAAGGCATGTTCATCAGAAAATTAATACAGGGTGAACAGGTGGGCAGAGTGGGTAAGCGGCCCTGGCCATGGAGCTCCATCTAAAAGACAAACCCTGATCCTAGAGCTATGCTGGGAGCAACTGGGGGCTACAGAGGGCCCCGCCCCACCTCAGGGCAGGCTGGGTGGGAGGCATCTTCCTGATGACAGAAGCACCTCCCACCCTCAGGCCTGAGGGCTGAGCAGTGTTACCTAGAGACAGCCGGAGGATTCTAATTTCCAAAATGTACACACTTTTGTTTCTGTCCATGTTTCTTGACCACCATTTCTGGCCACTGTCATAATAGAGTAACAGCATCTAACAGGGAAACTATATTTCTGTGTTTTATTTAGTACTCACAAGTTTAAAGAAACTTCTTTTTTGGTAATATAGGGTTGAATCCAAGGCCCTCACACTCAGCTATTCTTCCGCCCTTTTAATTTATTTAAATTTTTTTTTTTTATTTTGAGACAAGGCCTCACTAAATCACTAAGTTGCCCGGGCTGTGCTCAAACTTGCAGTCCTCCCACCTCAGCCTCCCAGAGTGCTGAGCTTACAGGTTCAGCCTGCCACTAAGCCCAGGTAGGAAACCTTATTAATGATATGGCTACCATATTGGTTGCATTACTCCCACACACCCGAGACAACGTATCAGCAAGAAAGTCAATTATGTGGCTTCGTGCAGAATGACAGTTCCTTGGAGACCTTAAAATTCCAGGACACTGACTCTGAACACTCACTTCCCAGCACAACCGCTGAACACTGCCCTGCAATGCTCTGTCCACCAGCCGTCTCCCAACGTTTCTTCTTCCCCTCCCTCCATGTCTCAAGTGTGGGAATCATCAGAGCCTTTGCTCTCCCATCACAAGCTCCTGCCTGCCTGTCCACGGCACCTTCAGGGCTGCCAGAGAAACCTCACTCATGCCTGTGAGTGAGGCGACGTGGATGACACCGTCGCTGTCCCTGTCCTGGACCCGCCCCTCTCCCAGTCCCTTCAGCAGCCCATCCCCTGACCCTGACCCTGACCCTGCACCTCCTGCTTCCTAGAGAGGACAGCAGACATCGGTCGTCACCTCCTGGTCCACAGCCACCGCCTCACAGGTCCCCGGACCACACTCTCCACCTGCTCGGTAAAACATGGTGTGGGGAAGCAAGTGACATACCTCTTTGGAGTGCACAACTCAAGGGACCAACAAAATCCTGTACCCAATATAGTATCTTACAGACTTGTAAAAAGTTTTAGTTGATATAAAAAAATTTAAATAGCAAAACTGTAAACAGACAGGAGCCCTTTCTGTGCTTTCATAGCCCTGTCTCACAGAACTCACCCTCATTCCTGCCCTGCTGGCCGGAAGCCTCTGGGCTTGCATTGCTGACTTCCAGGATGTGTTTGCATTCATAAAGTATCATAAAACAGTACCAACCTTGCTATATGCAATACACACTTCTGTCCCTCTTTCTCTCTCTTTTTCTTCCTTTCTTTCCTTCTTAATGCTATGCTTCCTAAAATTGTTGTATAAACCAATAGATTGTGACCTGCAAATTGGGAAAACACCAGTTTAGCAGAAATGAAAGCTCTACTATGAAATAGTCTTCTCTTACTTCACTTGTTGCCAAAACAAAAATAAACCCTGAAATTCTACTTAAGTTGGCAACATTATTTGAACAAAAAACTAATATATTAGAAGAAAGAAACAAAACTAATTTAGCCATTCTATCTTAGTTCTAGTTTTTTTCTTTGTTGGAGAAAGAAAATATTGTAGTAAAACCTACTCCCAAATGGTTTCATAGAAAACAGGACTGAATTGATGATGATTGTCTTCATTTTAAAAATTGATTTAATATTCAGAATATTCCTTGAGTCATAAAAGTATTGATAATCCTTTTCAAAGCAACATGATTATAAAGTATGACTATAAATTAATAAGGTTCCTCTAACAGTAAGTCAATGATTTTTTTTTTAAGCCTTAAAACTATATGCCATTTGCATTCAAAGTTTGATTGCTTAAAGTCTCATGTGACAGACAATTTTTGGTTCTTGTTCAGGCATGATTCAAAGGCAAGAAAGATAGAATTTCTTGTAACCACACAACCAGTTACCAGGTGGCACTGATTGCTTATGCTATGCACTCAACAAGGGAGAAAGCAACCTGAATTTTGATTTTGCCATGCACATTTTAACTATGAAAAATTTGATATCCTTTCAATAGTTCTACTTTTTGGGGGGCGGGGGGGGTACCAGGGATCGAACTAGGGACCTTGCACTTACAAGGCAGGTGGTGGAACCATTGAGCTAAATCCCCAGCCAGTTATACTATTTTTTAATTCAAGTTTGTGTGTCCAATAGAAGTCCTCTAAAAGAGGAATATTTCTGGGCCAGGGATTTAGCTCAGTGGTTCTGCCGCCTGCCTCGCAAGCGCAAGGTCCCAAGTTCGATCCCTGGTACCAAAAAAAATTAATAAAAGATCATTTAAAAAAATAAATTAAAAAAATTAAAGAGGAATATTTCACCCAGTAGCTGTCTTCAGATGTCTTTATGGCTAAAACTTTAGCCATAAAATAGTAGCTCAAGCCATGGGCAAAACCATTTCGAATCATCATTCTTCTACAAAGAATACATTTATAAAGTTAGTTCTTGATTCAGGGTTAGTCCAAAGATTTTAAATGTATACTTAGTTATGCAGTTCTTTAGAAATTCAACTTGGGTGTAGATTTCTGTTTGCTAGTTATAGGGGAAATAAAGTAAGTAAATACCACATGGAAAATAAATGAAGGCAAAGCCTAGGTCTTTCTTTTTTTTCGGTACCGGGGATTGAACTCAGAACCTTGTGCTTGCGAGGCAGGTGCAGCACCACTAAGCTACATCCCCAGTCATCTAAGTCTTTAATAAGGAAACTGGTAGCGTGGGGTTCTAGGATAGCAGCATACTTTAGTGCTGTTACATTAAGTCACTAAAATTCTCTAGTAACTAGTTTGATTACATGGCATTTACAACAACAAAAATAGAAAAATAGCCGAGGATTTAGCTCAGTGGTTTCACTGCCTGCTGTGCAAGCACAAGGACCTGAGTTCAATCCCTGTTACCAAAAAATAAATAAATAAATAAATAAAATAAGTTAAATATTGGTGTTCCTAACCCTGGGCCTCTGAATTCTTTTGTGTGTGTGTGTGTACCAGGAATTGAACTCAGGACTTTACGCTCGCCAAACAGGTGCAGCACCACTCAGCTGCATCCAGCCCTTCTGAATTCATTCTTGCAAATCAGTTGTTTGGGTGGATAGGGCTGCTTGCTTTCTGAAGTACAAGTCTTGTTGGTTTTTTTCATTCCTACTTAAGCTTAACCACTCTAGCAACAGTTACCAACATGGCTATGTTTAGTACACACCAGAGGGTGTTATGAGTGCTATGAGGGAGACAGGAGCTCCCCATTTTGTAGAAGAAATTGAGGCACCAAGATACTGCATTAACGCCAGCCGGGCGTGGTTGGTACATGCCTGTAATCCCAGGACTCAGGAGGCTGAGGCAGGAGGATCACTGTAAGTTCAAGGCCAGCCTGGGCTACATAGTGAGCTCAAGTCCAGCCTAAATTCCAAGCAACTCAGCAGCTGATCTGCTCCGAGGCCCTCCCAAATTGCTCCTGCCCTTCCTCCAGCACAGCAATTTTCAGTTCCCAGCAGGAGGGAGGGCGGGGCTGACGTCAGTGACCCACAAAGGCAAGGAATCTGCTCCCCTATCTAAAGTTCGGGACCATTTATGCTTTGCTACAACCTGCATTTCAGTAGCAGGTGTTCTCATTATCTTTTCTAACATTACCTCTCCCTAACCTCCATGGACTACAGGACTTCCTCCTTACCTTTGCTTTGTCCCAGTAACTCTAGACAGTGGGCAAAAGTGACCTCAGGAGTCTGTGTCCTCTGGATACAAAAATTTTTTTCTCCAAACACCAGGAAGGAAAAAGAAAGGAGGGAAAAAGAGATAGGATGGAATAAAGGAGAGAACAGGAAAACATGGGAGAAAACTCAAAGAGGATGTTTTAAGCAAGTATTCAGTAAGCAGGTAGTGAAATGTGAGGAGTCATAAGCGTAGAGTCATACCCTAACCCTGGGAAAGCCATCCTTCTTTTAATAAAAAGCTTTATAAAAATTATTTCATGAATCACAGCAGAAGAAATTTAAAGATATGTTCAGAGTTGCCTCGTAAAACAACAGGCAAAAAGTTAACATGATTAATGGATGTAAACCAGTTACCCACCATAAGGGTCACAGCCAGATGCGAATCAAAAATACAGGTTCAGGGCTGGGGATTTAGCTCAGTGGTTTCACCCGCTGCTAGGCAACTGCAAGGACCCGAGTTCGATCCCCAGTACAAAAAAAAAAAAAAAAGTACAGCTTCAGCTATCGGTAATACAAGATTGCCCATCCCTGTAAGGTGATAGCAGATACTCTGAAAACTGCCCCACTCCTGACTCCACCCCATAACATTCTTCACACACTGTGATGGCTTTGTCTGAGTCCCTAGAAATCAACATTCACTCGAGCTAAGATTTTTTTCAGTCTTGAGATTTCTTAGAGGTGGCTTTGCCCCAGAAAAATTGACCAAGGGACATTTGTTTTGTTGCATTTGGTTTGGGGAAGGGGAGGCCAGAGGAAATTCATCAATGAATCTGATATTTGAAACTCGTTTCCTAAACCGAGTGCACTTCGAAGGATGAGTTTCTTCTGATGAGGGAAGGGGGAGCAGAGGGAAATCAAGGACAGCTGCGTAGGAGAGGTGGCAAATGAGTGGGACCTAGGGTAGAGCTAGAATTCCACCATGGGTCTGGGGAGGAAATAAGTAACAGTTGAGAAGGAGAGACAATAACAGGGAGCATTTAAACTGATTTAAAAGTGGGGTGGAGGGAGAAGGGAGAAGATATTCTAAGAGAGACCAGTGTTGGGATTTCTGAAAGCACACAGTAGAAAAAACTTGTGGGTAGAGTGGGGAATCTCAACTTAATTTGCTAGAAGCTAGGGTGAAGGGAGACATGGGGTCAAAGAGATTAGAAAAGGGAGCTGAGGTCAAATTGTGCCAAGAAGAATAATGATTCAGAAATAGGGTGACACACTTTAGCTGTCTTATTCTAGACACTGTATCTGGAAAAACCACAGAGGACACAAAGTAAAATAGTATATAAGAGATATAATAATGTTTCTGTCTTTGCTGACCAACACTTATTGTAATAAGCTAACTACTATTATTAAGCACCTGAACTGTTCAAGGCCTGACAGTGGGGAGCCCCAAAAGTACAACCTACACTTAATTGACTACAGATATTAACTTATCACATACTGTGTAGGAGGCCAATGGCAGGATGCTGGGGAGACTCCAGGGATGTTTCAGGTGTGGATCCCCTACGGAGAATCAACACATGTTCCACTGCAACCTGGAATCAGACCTGATGGAGAGAGAAAAGCAGAGGATTTTAGAATGAGAAAAAAAAGTAAAAGTAGGTCTGTGGCCTGCCGCTCATTTACTGGAGACTGCACTTGACTTACCTTGAAGCTATGTACCAGAGTTTGCTGAGAATCAGTTGAGATGATTTATTGACCAAGTGTGATAATTTCCTCTCTGAAAACCTTTCATGGAACTTCACCATTATGGGTTAGTAGATAGCTAACATTTTTTAGCTATCAAAATGCTGAGCTATACTCATTATGATTCTTCTCAAAAATATTAGGTAAGAGTTTATTAAAATACTGTCTGAATTGCTAAGGGCCACTTAACACATTCCAAATATTGTTGAGTCTGAGAACAGAGGTATCATCCCTAATTGACTGAAAATGGTCTTCCATTATCCTTGACAGGAAAGAACACCATGGTTCCCACAAGCACTTAAAATACCTTTCAGTGACAATAACACAGATATAGGACTATAAAGCTCTGTAAATTAAGGAGAAGGAAACCTAATGGAGTCTATGTTTTAGCTAAGTTTGCTTGGCGCACTATCAAGAAATTATAGAAAGAGTTGTAGAAATGGAGGAAAAGAGAAAAATATGAAATCTCAGATGAGCCTTAGGCTGTATAACAAAGTGTTGAACTTGACCTTTGGGAGTTTTGTTGCCTGCAGAATTGGTAGAACATTCTCTTCTGTAGTCGCCTGCCTGGCTTCTAGTATTAAAGCCTTCACAATGGAAGATTAACCTGAATAAGTTACAGACCAAAGCCAGCCTCTGAGTTCATAGCATCAAAATGTAAAAAGTCACTTGAATTTATTCAAAGGTCACATCTCACCTGATCAAGTTTTTAAATCTTCAAATATAAAAATTCTTATGTTCTGTCTATAAGTAGATATTGCACACAATAAGGAAAGTAATTCTAGATTTACAGTGTTCTGGCTACATCTTTTTGGGCAGAGATTTGATGTCAAATGGCAGAGCCCTTTTAATAATTTGCCTAAATCCATTCAATGGAACATACATAAAATAGGGTAGATTTTGTTACTTTGAGAAGAGACATCTGAATTTCTCTCACTTTCTCTCAAACTCTGTGTTTTGAAATGCAAATTCTAATGCAACTGGGGCTCTGGAAGAACTCAACCCTTTACAATTTGAAAGTCACCAAGTGCAATGATTCCAGCCAAAGTAACCCATTTTTAAAGATGACCCATTTCAAAACCCATTACTGAAGCTGTTCTATATTTGAGAATTAGGAAGTTATTTCCTTTTACTACAATCTCACTGTTTGAATGCCTTTTATAAAAAGGGAAATTTGTGTCACAATGTGACTTATTTTTTATCTACTCACTAGGGACTGGACTTTATTTTGAAAATCCATCCTCATCTTCTGAGTTTTTTCTGAGGGCAGAACAGTTCTAAGCGTCTGTAGTACTTGTGTCTTGTGTTCACCTCTCACTTCCTCCCAAAGAACTTCTCTGGGTTCAAAAGCTTTCACCCACCTGGTGTGTCAGGGTGAGCCCTTGATGCTGGATAAATACTGTGGGTGCGGAGATACCTGGGAGGGAGAGAGGGTGAGCAGCGAGCCTACAGTGGAAACCCTTCAAGTATTCATTATCTTGTTTTAAAAGCAAAGCGTTGGTCCCCCAAAGCAGCTTTCCCCTTCCATCTTGTAACAAGTGTAACATCCGCCACCGCCACCGTTGCTTTCTTTTGAGAAAGCTAAAACCTCGGCTTCTAATCACTAATCATCCTTCCAGAGCGTTCAGGGTGGGATCGTTTTTGCGCCACTTCTTAACACATCTACTTTCAATCATCCCTTTCTGGGTCACTTTCAGCTTCTCAGATCCCTCTCCCTTCCCCCAGAGGGACCAGGTAAGGTTTCCCAAAATAAAGGCACAGAGGAACTAATCCAGTTCTGACGGACATGCTTTCATTAGAGAGGAATCCGAAATAGAAGCTGCAGGCCCTCGCCAGCCGCTGCGGTGACAACATCGGTGCCCCTCTGGCACGAGCCACAGCCTGTGAGGAGCGAGGCTGGGAAAGAATCTGGTGTAGCTAATTTGAAGTTGTTACTTTGTACCTAAACCGTACTTGAGCAAGCAACTGACTGTCACACCGGGATGCGAAGTAAAACCAGGGTAGGCAAAGCAGAGCATCAGGGCTTTCCCGCCAAGAAGAGATTTTAGTTTTCTAGTTTCCCCCGCCTGCCCACTCCGTTTCCGTTTCCCAGCCGGTAACCCGCCGAAAGCTTCCCCGGTCCGCCGGTTTGCCCTTTCCCACCCGACCAGGGGCGGAGGCACCGGGACCCCCGCCAGAACCCGGGCCGGCAGGCGCGGCTTCCACCTCGCGGCTCTCGGCACCGCGGAGCGGCAGCCGGTGGCCTGAGC